TAAACTAACGTTTCTCGAAGCACGTCACTTGCTCAGGTGCCAATTGCGCCATCCCACCGTTGATATTGCATGTCACACGCCATCCGTCACACTGCTGTGAGCATTTTGATGCATAGCACATCGCTACGATATTCTCTGTAATATCATTTCTCCATTTTTATACTCAAAAATTGCCCAAAAGATTCCCGAAAACTTTGGCAAACCCGAGATACGAGATATCTCAAGTATCCACAAGATTATCGCTCGATACTTCATACTACAACCTCAACACTTGCTTGTTCATTCTAGCCAATTTCCCCACAAAACTGCCCAGAACTCTTCTCATTACCCACAAAATTGCCCAGAATCTCCACGCCTAAACCCTTAATAAATCTCACCAACCCTGCGCTATGCACTGTGAGATTGCCTCGGGTAGTCGATACTCTCCACCACCGCGTGAGAACGCCGGGATGTCCGTGCCTGTCACCTTCGAACACGCCGCACCAAGCCGATTGCAGAACGACTCCGAGTATTTGGCACGGCACTGCACCACCGGATCGGCTGAAATTCTCCGAAAATTTTCAAAAAATACCCTCAAAATTCGCACCAAAACGAGACACTCACTCAAAAAACCATTTCAACACTGCAAAATTCCAAAAACAACCAAAATTCCGATGCCTTTCCCCTAAAAAATCAATCAAAATTCAAGACACTAATGCAAAAAACCCCAAAAACCAAGCAAACCACGCACTCGTCTGCGCACACCCCACGATGCCAGGCGGTAATCGCTGCACCGAATCGTTCTTCCACGGTATCGACAGCATCGACGAGCACACCGACAACATACTGCTACAGAACTGCTCACCGTATTTTGCGATACATTTCACTTGCATCGACTCTGAATTTCAATTCATCTTTCAATCAATTTAACGCAAAACAATCAAGATCAACCGATTCAATCACCAACCCCAAAATATTCCGTATTTCAAACAATATTCAGACACTATCAACTGCCCAGATTTCCCCACAAAACTACCCAAATTTCCCCACAAAACTGCCCAGATTTCCCCACAAAACTGCCCACAATCCCATAAAATCATCAACTCACGGCTCTTGATGCACTCCTTCTCGTCATCCGATAACTCGAAATCACTCCTCGTGTATCTATTT